ATAAGTCGACGAGTTTTGCGCTAGTATTGCACAATTAGTTAACTTTTCTTAGCAAAAATTTAATTACATGTCTCTCTGAATTTCCAACTTCTAGATTTTTAATCTTAAATATCTTGATATATTATAAATTAAAATTCTAATAAATTAAAATCAACTTAAAATTAATTGAAAAATAAGATTCTCTTACTTATTTTTACTTATGCAATAAAAAGCACTTCACTTTTGATTGATCTTAACTTTAAAAATTATTGGTATCTCGACATTTTTAGAAAATAAAAATATACCTAATGTAAAAAGAAGGAAGAAATTTTTTACCACTCTTGGACAAATAAATTCAGATTTGGATGTTCTAGCATTATAAACATTTTAAAATTTCATATATTTTATTACTTATTTATAAAATTGCATTTATTATAAAATTATTTGACGAATAAATTGTGATTAAAAGCCATATTTTAATAATAAAATGCAATATTGTATAATGTGTATATTTGTTGTTTGCTATTTATTAAATTTTTAGTACTTGAAAAGATTATAATTTAAATAGCGTGTTTTACATGTTCAGGCTGAGATAATGGTTTTGCTGGAAATCCAAGTGGCGTGACGCGCACTATTTCCCGCAAATTGGCATAATCGAGAGACATTAAGTGGTTGATCGACTATTTAAAGCGACACGTTTAAGTCTCGAGACATCGTACTGCGGTTCTTCTCGCCGCAAGGTGCCTGTCGGAGGCCATTAACCTCATTACGCATGCTTAACCCGTTCATATCAGAATAGTTACAGGATAGTAGAGGAGACCATAATGACGGAAAAATATTTTTTTAGCAAATTTTGAAATAATAAAGAAATTACTCTCCCCATTTATTCTGCCATCTTATTTAATGTAAAATTTCAGTTTATATATTATAACGATAAAAGCGGCAATTATATTATTATAAAAATAATCATAATTAATAGTAAATAATTCATAAAAATGCGTATATTAATGTTAATTGTTTCATATATTTTTCTACAAGAACACAAATCGTATAATCCTTATTCATTAAACATGATAAATCCCCAGACTGCTGTAAAAACGAGAGAAAATATAGATGAAATGAGAACGTGTTGAATGCGCATAATAACGGGCGCGGCTCTTTTTAATGCGTTAATTCCTAATGACATAACAAAACATTTCTTGCACGATAATCTCGCCGGATGATATCTCTTGAGCATTTCTACGAGGCGGAAATAAAAGTACCTGACTGCTGAATGCCAGTGCTCAAAATGAACAATAATGGGAGATCATGCGTGAAGAATATTCTTACGAGCGAAGAGGGTCTCTTTCGTGTCTGCTCCTGCCGGGGTCTATAAGCAGTACAATAGAGCCAATGACATGCATTCTCGTAAACTCTGACGAGGCCGCGGGATGCCGCGGTTAGGTCTCTGCATGTTGTCAAAATGTATTCCGAGAAACCCGACAAAAGGGATAGCGGCTGCAGGATAGAGAATGGGAGGAAAAGGCATACCTGATCGATATCTTTCTTAACTAGGACCCCTCCTTCTTTTCCGACTTTTCATTTCATATTTAGCGATAAAAAATTATGAAATTACAATCGTGTCACATTGTTATCATTTCGCATTATATGTGTTACGGTGAAAGTATTTAATCCGCGACGATTTCTGTATCAATTTTATTAGAATCACTAGCTATGTGTTAATAAATGGAAAAAAAAAGTTTCTTGATGATTCTTTCAACGGTAGTTTAATTTAATATGTCAAGTTCTAATTTAATTTAACTTTAAATCAAATATTACGATTCAGTCATTTTTGCGTTTCATTATGTTAGATAATTAAGCTTTAAATTAACGTTCTGTTAATGTCCGTAAATATATTTAAAATTAAATAGAAAATATATATAACGTATTTATTTGAATTCTTAAAAGATAATTTGCGAAAAGCTTTTTATTTTAAATCGTTTGAAATCGCGAAAAACTGTAATAATCGTTACTTTTTATTATACAAAAATCGACTGTCGCTAAATATTGACTTTTGTTAAACAATCTCTGAAGTGAGAATTTAATGACATTTAAATGTATAGGTATATCAGACGTAATAAGGTATTGTAATTTTTACTAATAATAATCCATAAACTTTTTTTCCTCTTTTCAATTTTTCCTTTTCAACTTGCTGTTACATATTATATTCAGTACGAATAAAAATATTCATTGAATGCAAGACATTAAACAGATTTTTCTCACATTAATTTAGCTGAAGAGAAACTTGCAATCTTCGAGATACAAAAAAAAATAAAATAAAATAAAACGCGTATTATAGAAAGTACAGCATATATCATAAAAAAATTCCACAATTTCCTTGCAGAATTAAACGGTTGATGCAATTTAATATCCGCTAAAAATAATTTAAAACGTTTTTCAATGACATATTTTATTCGCCGATGCAGCTCGGCGTGTTGTCTCGAGAGGCAGTCGTTTGAAATATTGAAATAATTAAGAAAAACGTCATTGCGAACATTCGTCATGGTTATCAGCAGGTGTGTAGAATGATGACAGAAAATGCGGGCTTTACTCTAGGTGGTCTCCGCGGTCGTGCACTCGTAATTTCTTGCGCCGCTTTTGAAATGCGATTCCCCCCTTCTTCCCCCCACACATCATTGCGCATCTAGAACGAAAAAGGTACGCTCGCATTGCCGACGACAAGAAGATCCCGACGAATAACGACCACTCGTTCGTCGGTGCCTTTCACATCTATACAAACGATATAGCATCGCTCTGAATCAGCTTAGCTGTCCCTCGTTTGCTTATGTATTTATTCGATCATATTTGAATAATTGGTCTCCCGATAGGGCCACTGCTTAATAAGTGGGTAACTTGCCTCGCGTGATTAATATCAGTGACGGAGAGAGAGAGAGAGAGAGAGAGAGAGAGAGAGAGAGAGAGATTTGTGATTAAAAAAAAGAAAATTATAAATTTTTATGATATTAAGAATGAAAATATAATTTGTAAGATTAAGGGTAAAAATAGCAAAATGATATATTTTACATCATCTACAAAATATTTCACATTAACATATTATTCTCGGTTTTGTTTTCATACTTAGAAACGTCTATCATCATTAAACATCGTCTGATTATCTTTATTAATATGATATTAGAGCGGCCAAGTTTTCTTGGGAACATGTACTTTCATTAACCGAGACAAGCAAATCATGTGAGTGTATCTGTTAGACTTGTATCTGCTAAACTTGGAAATGGTGGTATAATTTTCTGTTATTATATCCTTGCTTTGTCGCGTTTCATGTTACTTTCGCGATTCTGTATTTGCGGTCTTGATAACGAATTTTTTTCAAATATTCCTTTTCCCGTGCTCTTAAAGTTGAAAATGATTTAATATAAAGATCGAAATGATTCTTTTTATCTGTATTTAGCGGATAAACATTTTATCTGGTTACGATATACTTTCCTTTATATCCTTTTCTTCGCCTTATCTATTGATTCTTACTAACTTTATTCTGTTTCGATTCGTATTGTGTAACGTTTATTCGTATAATTTTCTAGATTTCTCTTATCATCTTATCCACAATATTTCTTTCACTGATATACCTTTCCTTTGGTTACATAAAGTATAAATAATTATTATACTACTATTATACGATTTCTTTTTGTTGTGCGCGCGTAACGTAACGTAACGTTGAGATGCGGATCAAAAAGCGTAACCAGTAAATTCGCTTGTGCCGACTTATAAAAATGCATGCGTACTTTGGCGCGAGTGTACCAAGAGGAAATGCGGAGAATACATCCCTCCTCCTCCTCCTCCACCCCCCGTGTTTGTGTATATATCGACAACTCGCGCGGGAGAGAAGAAGTACACGCTCTCTCAACATACTCAACGCGGATACTCGACAAGACCGCAAACAGTGAATGCCACGTCCCGGAAATAAAACGACATCGCATAACACACATACAACGCCCTCGTAACTCGCAAAAAATGCATGGAACACAGCGTATAATGCGTTCGATCCAAAAATCCCTAAGGCAAATGCCCCAATTACTTTCAGGCGTGCCGGGATTTTCCGTGTTTTACATAATCGGAATCCTATTGAACGCCCGTATTTTTCGGCGATAACAAAACGCCATTTAATAAACTACAGATGGTAGATGCGCGAAGTTTCGTTATGTCAAGATTAATTCCTATCTTTCGCGCGAAAATAATCCCTCATCTAATTGACAAATACAATCAATTCGTCCTCTAATCCTTTTTCCCCTCTGTCTTTCTCAAAATATTCTACAGAGAGAGAAAATTGTCTTACACGTATTAAACGAGATATTGCGCAATGTCTACTAATCATTCATAATTATTGTATAATTAAAATATAGTATTAAACATTACTTAATAACGAAGCAAGATACTAAATTTTTAATTAATTTGCTTGAATAAATATTGATTGTATATATAAGAATTACCTATATACAGGAATTTTAATCTTGTTAATCATTTTGAAAGAGAGATACGGACGGGATATTAAAAAAATGTGACATTAAAACATAAACATTTCTAACCGCGAAATAAATTCAGGCATATCTTATTTATCTAGAATGCAATTTTCGTATTTTTGGATCGAGCTTAATTTATTTAAATTCAACATGACATGACATGTAACATGCAATATGACATGAATTAATATTTTATATATATATTGTATATGTGATATGTAACTGCTTTTTAATAATATCTTTGCAGGCATAGAAAGCTAGTCTCGAAATCTTCTAAAAAAACGTTCTTATGTTTTTATAATATTTTTGCAACATGGGAAAAAAGCTAATAGCCACCACATTGATGTTTTGATTATATTTGCATCAAAGATACAGTTTTCAAGAAATCATAATGTGTCAACAGTTACATAGAGATTTTGTTGAACATCTCACAACTTTTCTGTATTAGTTATTAATAATAATTTTTCATGACTCACCATACACGTTGATTTATCAATTATAGCTCACCATATACGTCGATTTGTTGCTGATAATGTGAAACCATTCCACAACACATAGAACTATCTGAATTGGATTCTCTAAAATAGACAAAAATAAAATGCAAAAAATTAGATATAAAAAAATATATATCATATATGACTTTGTATTTATATAAAATATATCATAATATTTTTTTTTGGCTATTATGTCATTATAATCTAATTTTAAATGCAAAGAATCTTTTTGTACGTTTTAAAATATTAATATGAGGCCATAATCATTGTTATACATATATTATTATTATTACAATCAGTATTAATATTAATGTTACCGTATATTGTTATTATAGTGTACTCTTTTACATTAGATTAATTAAAAAAATGTTTGCATTACATCATAATTATCATATATCGCAAGCATGATTCATACTGGTAGAATTTTCGGCGGAATATACACGTATATTGTCGTTCGTCGATTTATGGATTACATATTCATGAAAATGTTAATATACATGTTTATCATGTAATGCAAAAACTTTCGAAAATATTAATATTTTTCTTCTCAATAGAATCTGTACTATCGATATCTGTATTGCAACTTACAAACATTGTTACGCACTTATTATTTACTGTCGAAAGAAAAATGCCTACCGGTTGGACTGTGAAGTTGCCTCGTCGGCCGCCATCAGGACGACAAAGTCAATGCGATCGAAGGTCGATGATTCGTAAGTGGTCGAGCGAGCATGTTGTTAACTAAACCGCGAGAGAAGGCCGTCGCTGTAAAAGACGTTAAAAATACATATTACCCTCGCAATATCGCGCCAACGAGTTACGCGACATTACCCGGCAAATATCGAATAACTTACGCGACATTAACCGCGCGCGCGCGTACATATGTACACACATGTACAAGTGCATCGATGACACGGCGATCGAGAGATGCCCCGGCTTACGTTTACTCGGGAAAGTTAAGCGATCCACTGCCAGCTTCCCCGCTCCAAATATTGTATATTTATCATTGTTGTATATTTACTTACCCTCCTCCCTCTCCTCGCTGATCGGACGGAGACTACTCGCACGGTTGTCGGCGCGTTAATCAAAAGAATGCGCCGTTCGCGCGCGCCGGTCACACTTCGCGAATGCCTCGGCTCGCCTCGGCAATCTTCGGCCGCGCTCGGGCGAGCGACCGGCGCGCGCCCGGTTCCCCACTCGGCGCACATCGCGCATCACTTCAGTGCTGATCGTGTAACCGTCGCGTATGTGTCTATTTCGTGGTCGGCCGAGCAAAAAGTCACCCTCCACTACCGGTCGCGCGTAACTTCGATCGCTCCGAAATTATCCGCGCAAGTTATTCAAACGGCGACAAAAAAGTGCAAGATTCGGGAGTGGTGCCGCGACATCGCCGAAAACTCAAATTGGAAATTCGAATTTCTGCGTCGCAATATCGTGAAATCTCGCGACGGTGGTGCGGATAACCGCGATTAATTCTTTCGGACACGACAAGAGAGAGGACTTGACGATACGTCGCGAATGATGCAAAAACACTATCGTTTCAAATGATTTAGACGTGTCAATAGTGATCTAAAATCGCGCGCTCTCCAAATTTGCAACAAGTTGCAGGAGTGTGCCTTTTTTTATGTTTTCCTCGACTCTCCGTTTGTTTCTCTTACGCGAGTGTGTGCGTGTTCGTGTGTGTTCGTGATCGGAAAGGATTAATATCGGTGATGATCCTGTGAAGAAGCTGCGAAGTATCGTTCTCGGTGATGGCAACCGGACCTTCGAACGTGGAACGGACTGTACACGCGGACGATCGTATTCGAAGGAAATGTGCCCTGTGATCGTGTTCTCCAAGGATCTTTTGACGGTAAGACTCGTATGTACTTTCTCTACTTTCCTCTTTTTCTTCGTCATTATAAGCGCACACAGATGCCAAGAGAATGATTGATGGGGAAATATTTCTAAGAGATTAACAATTTGCGATAAATATAATGGGAAATATTTTGCAAAATAATATAATATGTTAATTACACTAGTTTACAAGGTTTTGTAAGGTTTTACCAGAGCATTCGAACACTGTTTTTAGTTTAATTTTAAACGCTTAGCACGAATCTGCGATCAAAAAATTTATATCAGGTCAGATTTTCGAGAAAAACAGGGTTAAAATCACTCAAAAAACGCGTTTTTTTACCATCTTTGAGAATTCATGGTAGACGAACTCGATGTGCAAGAAATTTCAAACAGGGCTCAAATGAAAGCTTGAACATTCTACTTTAATATAAAAATATCAAATCTTTTATCTGCAATCAGATTGCATGGGACAATCGTTCTACTTGACACAATGCGACTACGTTTAAAAACAAAGCGTGCCTCAGTTTCGATTGTACCTGCGGTAAAAAAATTGATATTTTTATATTAAATACAATTTTCAAGCTTTTATGTGAGCCCTGTTTGAAGTCTTTTGCACATCGGGTTCGTTTGCTATGAATTTTCAAAAATGGTAAAAAACGTGTTTTTGGGGGGATTTCAACTCCAAGGTTTTTCTTGAAAACCTGATCTGATAGATTATTTTGCCTTTCGGATTTGGATTCAGCGTCCCAAAATACGTTAAAAAAGTTGTTTCTATTTCTGGTATTAAAAAAAGTATGAAATTTATAAACTAGTGTTATCAGAAATAAACTGGGTCAGAGATGGTGCACGTTTATGATTTTTAATTGCGATGTATCAAATTAAAATATCAATCAACATCTTTTTCGTCGAATGCTACATATTCGATCTTGCGCTCATTAACGCATACTCGTTGCAACCTTTCCCCTCAATTTTCGTTACAATTTTGCTACGAATTAATTTAAAAATTTTTAATTGCAAAAATTTTTAATTGCCAGTAGCGAGTATCGTAAAAGCGGTAGTTTATGCATACGTTCAAAGAATGGCGCGAATAACGCGAAAAACTTGCCAAAAACATATTTCGATATTTAACGAGTGAATGTAGGAAACAATAGCGCATATATTCGATGAATATTTATTCGCGAATAATCAGTGATACAGAATCGAGCGATTTTGTATGTACAAACAACACGATATTATCAGATGCAGTTGGATTAATTCGGCGCGACATTATGTCGAAAATAATGAGATATTATTTGTCAAAAATTTTATTTATCAAAAATTCTTAAAAACGATCATGTTGCATGTTGAATACGTGAATACAGAATATTGGAAATATGTATTTTGTTACATTGCGTAACGGAAATATCGAGTTATATCTCTTACTTTGCCGAACGTACAAGCGAATGTACATATATATAAATATATATATATATAGAGTGTATCTGAAATGATGCACTAAACTTTAGGAGCGTATTGTAGAGGTCAAAATAAGACTTTTTTTTCTGAGTACCAATAAAATTGCGTATTACTATATTTATATCATTACGCACGATATATATCGTGAAACAGTAATATCGCGTGTACCTCGAGACTTTCCGTACGATAAGATCACAAATTAATTTTAATCATATCGCGCACACATCCGTTTTTGACGCCTCTCGCATCCCTATGCATCATAAATCATCACGCGATTTGGAGAGTAAATATGCATCGTCCATCACACGCGGAGCGTCGCATGCAAGCACCCGTTAGAGCGACTTCATGGCAGCCGCGTGTTCGCGCGGTATTGTAAAAATTTTAATCTTTCGTAAAATTTCCGTGTATTTCTCTCACAGAAGACGACGACGCGCGCGATCGCGAACCTTTCTTCGAAATAGATCCTCCTCCCTTCTCCGTCATTGGGAGCGGCGGGATTTCACATGCGACCCAACGATCAATCGCGGACGCGCGATAATGCCACGGGGAACAGTTACACAGACGTATTACACGGGACTTAAATTGGGTGCTTGTCACTCCCGCTTTGTGACTGGCAATTTTCTCGAAAAAGCCGCGCGTTGCCAGTCACGAAAACAATTTGTGCCTTTGTGATCGGATAGATGAAAGAATTCCGATGTTAAGGAGCCGGCACGTCACGTTGGAAATTATACCTGTTGGGGATACACGAGGGCTTCAAATATGAGACATGAGACCGTCCTTCTTCTTATCGCATCGTTTTCCAATCTAATTTATTTCCCGATATATCAATCTCGCACGCGATACCTCGATATATTTTATAAAAAATTGTATGTCTTTCAGAGAATATTATTGAACTGCGTGTCTGTGATTTCGACGAGTCTCGCTCGCGGCATTAGTTCGAGGAATTGCGGTGCTCCCGATTTTTCCGAGAATTCGTCGCGTCGTCGCGTTAGACAGATGCAAGCGAGAGATAAGCCGCTAAGCGCTTCGGTAACACGAACCTCGAGATGTTTTACTGAGAATATTGTGGGTATGACCCTTCTTAAATGCGCGAGATATACCCTTAAACGATACAACTCTCGAATCGACCTCGTACGCGTTTTAAAAAGAAGCTGTTCACATATTTTTTCCTGGGGAAATTAAAAAGTAAATATAACTTTGCTGCATAAAATGTTGCTTGATATTTGGAATAGTTAAACACTGCGTGTGTACATCGTTACTTTTTATCGATTATTGTATTATTAATTTTTACTTTTTACAGATTTTATTATATTTCGCGCTGTAAATGTGCATATTAATTTGATAAATTAATAAGGTAGATTTATATTTTGCGTCTTTAGTTGTATACTCATTGCATGGCTAAATATGTAGCAATATTCATTTTCGTATAAACTGACAACATTTTTTTTTATTAACATGATCAATATTTTATTAAAAGAACCATTTTTCGTTAAAATACCAAATGTCCTCTCTTTGTATTAATGATTGGCTTGGTTAAATGGAATAAATTAAATTTGATTTAATTAAATATAAATTTACTTTACATATATATTGGATGAATAAAATGGAGCGAGCGTTTTTCCTCTTATTTGTCAAAGGCTTTTGTCAGGTTTTGGAAAATACGAGTGAGAGACATTGAAGCTTATGCTTGAAGCTTGCCTTGATTAATACGATATTTTAGAAAATATGGAAAAGGTAAAAAAATGACAAAAAGTATAAATCCTATTTCACATTATAATTCTTTGCATATTCACATCTCTCAGTTTATACCCATTAAAAAAAAAAAAAAAAAAAAATGACGTTTACAAATATACAGATCGCTTTTCGTAATAAAAGCCAAAGATTATTTTATATGAAATGTATACACTTTTGCTTTAATCATATTATTTTTGCTTTAACCGTATTATTTTTTAAAATGAATATGCTTTAGCTTATATTTTCTACTGTCAGATACATTCTTGCATCACTGTTTTATTGATTTAACTTGCCGATTCGTATTTTTATATGTCGCATCTTGTGTCACGTAAACGTCCTAAAAGATTCCAACTACATTTTCCCAACATATTTTAGACATTGCGTAGGGTCATTAAATATACATTAAAGCTCTCAGATAGAATATTAACTGATAAATGAGAAATATTGGCCTGATATGCGAAGCAAAATAGATAAATATTCTACGAGTCGCAATGACATGAATTCGCATACGCGAATATGCATACGCAGCGAAATGAAATTCTCACGTCATTAAGTTCACGTCTATTGTCAGTCTGGTACGTTTTATAAGCGTCTAGAGATCACGCAGAAAATGGTTGGATCCTCGATTCTCCGAGCGGATGACCGCCGAATAGTCCTACCGGCAGATGCGTCGATGCATTTACATGGAAATCTGATAGCCGGGTGGACGATAACATTCCTAACATTATGCTATATCATCGGGGGATTCTAACCGCGATCTGTTCTAAGAATCCTCGGCATTTTGCATCGTTGCGCATCTAATATGCGCCGCGATTTCGACAAATCGTTCGGGGCATTAATTCGAGAGGATTAGATATGTGTGCGTGATTTTTCCGAAAATTTGCCGCGTCAGATAAATACGATCGAGAGAGAACTGCTAAATACTTAGGCATTCGGATTTAATAATCCGATGCAATGGAATGGAAAAGATGTTACGAATAGTTGGGGTCTTTCAGGAAGTTCGTGACACAAGCATATAGGTTTGAGATTTTACTAAGAGAGAATGAGATATATTACATTATATATATATATATATATATATAAGATCCTCTAACGGAAACAGAAAGTGTAATCTTAAACATTTTATGAGATGCTTTTTCTGAACTGGTTTTTCCGTTCATGTGGAAATATCTTGAATTTTTTTTAGTAAGAGGTTATTATAATTTATAGTTATTATGTTTATATAAGATAGGAACATTAAAATGAAGTTTTGTCGTCTCATGTAGTAGACAAAGAACTATTTTTCACACACACAAATAATCTTGAAAAATGCATTTTATTTTTTTTATTTTAGAATATCAATTGATTGGCATATTTTAATCTGCATGTTTTTTATGTGATAATTATGATTATAATATATATGTTCTAATTTTATTCTTGAGATACTTTTTTAAAACAGAATTTTTATAAAAGCTTTTGTTACTATTTATATTTTTGCTGCATTATATCATAGGATATTAAATTATACGTAAATTAATATATCATTAAATATATTTATGCAATATTGAAACTTCATATAATATTGAAAGCAAAATGGAATTTCATCGTACGACCTTCTCCCCTATCGATGGAAATTGTTCGGATATCGCGGTATCAGTGCACAAATTTTCGGTTAGCGGTTTAACTCCCGAATGAAACTGTCCGGACACTTCTTTTACATAGACACTATGTTTCGTACGATGTGAAATAATGAGTCGTAATTTACTGGGTCCCTCGCGATATCCGCGCGCGAGACGTGATTGAACCGTTAATTAGTCTCCAATTAAACGGCCCGATGCGAGCCGTTTGCGATTTTACAATTTTACAATGCAATTTCTCGGATAATGCACATTCTTCGATACGCGTTTCGTTTGTTCGTTAATCGTGAAAATTGATGCTATTTTTTGCTTCGTTAGATTCTCGAGCGGACGGCAAGGGGATATGGTTGGGAAAATTAATTATTTATTTCTCCGAGTCCCGCCCGCGAAAAGTAATTAAAGGCACAATTATCTGTCAATATCAAATTAAGCTGCTCAATTTGAAGTATTTGCAAATTTTCCCTGTTGATTGTATCATGGAATTTTAAACTAATTACTTATAGTCATAATAAAACGTTACTTTTAGTTTAACAGCAGAACTTTGTTTTAAGCAGATGATACAGTTTGATAATGCTGCATTTACCAAATGCAATTAATTTTTTGTATGAAAAATCATATTATTCTTCAAAAATCGCGTTATTTCCTTTTTCGAGAGAAATTTATCATATAAGTGAAGAAAGGTATATGTGTACGTCGCGGGAGTGTACATTGTTTTGATACTTTTTTAGAGACGCAACGTCGATTGAAAAGAGCATCCTCTCTCTCCCTCTCTCTCTCTCTCTGTTGCTCTCTTTCTCTTTGGTATAGAAGTTAATATAATAGAAACGTACGGACGCGATATATCACGATATAAACGCGCGCGAACCGCGATATAACGAAAGCGATATAAAAAAACACCCGACGAAAAGTTTCCGGAAATAAACTTGTTGCGCGATCGGTAAATAAAATAATAACTGGGGCACGTAACTCGATTAAACGACAATATCACGATATTAAGCGCCGGTGTGCACCGTGTCACAATCGGCGAGGTCTGTCGCGCGTGTCAAAAACTCGGGCAAGAAACACACGCTCTCCTGTCATAGGCGATGAATGCGCTGTAACGATATATATTTTTTTCCCTCTTCCTCTCGTATTTTTTTTTTTTTTTTGTTTTGTTGGTCGAATTATATTCGCGGCGGAAGCAATTGCATCGTCGGATGAAATATTTCGTCTCGCTTTTTCTCTCTTCTATCTCCACCGACTTCTGCGGGAATCGAGTGCTAAAAAACATTTCGCGATAACGAGGGAAGAGGCGAGACAACGGATAAGTTTTTTTTTTTAAACAGCGGCGTGATTACGCCGAATGTACGGGATCAGCTATCGAGCGAGTTTGAGCGGTAGCGGCAACGGCCATTGTAACTGCATGCGTGTTCCTGCTGCAGGTGAGAAAGGAAAATCAGCAGAATAGAATTGGAGAGAGAGAGAGAGAGCCGTGGCAGAGAGACAGATAGAGATAGAGGGTACGCGAATGCGAGCTCGCATTTGCAAGGGTCGCAATTTTCCGAAATCGCAACCCTATCGCGCATTTCATTGGCGAGTGCAAATTCAGGATTAGGAAATAAACGATGTTTCCCAGCTGATAAACTTAAGCATCCAGTTTAGCGTTAACTGCTCACTCAACAGTTAATGCAATAATTGTTTCGTAAACGGAGATTAATTTAACCTAACGTTGAAAAACAACGTTTATACATTTTGTGAAATTTCAGGAAAAAAATTCAAATTCTGCGAAATTGTTCTTTCGCAAAAAAAATCAAAAAGTTTTTATTTAAAAAGTAATTTTTTTTTCTTTACATTAGAACATTTTACTTGCTCTACGCTGTATCGCAAAATAATTCCCAGGTAAATCTGATCTCTGTTTGAGATAGATCTTCAAAGCTCGGTAGTCTCTTGGATTATCTAATCCCAAGTTGGCGATTCGCTATCCCTCTTTAACTTACAGTTCTCTGTTCAATATAGATATAGAAGCAGGATTTGATATATATGTGTGTGTATATAAAAACAGGTTTCGACGTTTTTCTCTCAATCTTTCTATCTCTTTTTCTCTGTGTCTCGAATATTATAAGATACAATTTTTTATTATATATATTTGCCAATATCATATATTATAAATGTGCTATACAATAATTTCAATTTAATTCTGTCACTTAGAAACTATTGAATTTACAATATCTTTCCACTAATAAATTTTATTACAACCATTTTTATATTTTTATTTGAAATGCGAGAAATTTGATTTGTTAAAATCACCCCACGATCTGCATTTCAATTTTTCCAACAAGAAGGTGGGCGTGTGGAATACGATTTCCGAAGTAAGAAATGAAAAGAGGAGAAAATTTTTCAAACGCGACCGTTCGAGATTCATTGATGATTTCAACGCATCGTGTCGGTTGTATGTTCGAAGGTTTGACGAGGATAAATCCGTGGACGCGGATGAGGAGTTCGCGGAGAGCAAGTTCGACGATGAGAGTTTGAGTCGTGCGGAAAGTGTTTTCAAGAGTGCCCGGGGTCCTGGTTCGCGCATTTCGTCAACGACGAGGGAGCAGAAGACGACGAGTGCTGTAAAAAGGAGGCGGGGCGAGTGTGTCGCTGACACGAGTTGACGCGACACAACGTGACGTGACGTGACGTGACGTGACGCGACGTCGGGGTGTCGAGATGCCTCGAGATGAGATGTTCGTCCCTCTTCGATCCCTCGCGTCGCTCATCACGCTTGTACTCTACGCTCTCAGCAGCTGCCATGCCAGGATAACCAATCAGGAAATCGGTAAGTGCTAATTTAAGTAATCTACTATATGCGTAATGATTGAATTAAAGATGGAGCGAAGGGTGAGAATTTGATATGATTGTTAATGTTGGAAACAGATTTAATTCATTTTTTTCTATTGAGTGAGAAGCAAGATATCATCATTAGAAAAAGACGTCAAAAATAGACGTTTTATAAAATAAAACATGATTGAATATTGAAAGAAATTTTTGTGTTTGACGTGTCGCACTGTCAGTAATAGCTAAATAAGAAAATATAGTAATAGCACCTGGAAGGTATGGTACCTTCCTATGAAGTGGAATACTAATTGAAATAGCATTATCCAGAATCAGTTCATATATTAATGGATATTGATTAGATGAAAATACAAATAGTTAATAACAATAACTAAACTAAATACATTTAATTGTATTCAATTTTGTGGTATTTGCAGCTCATGAGAGTTACTAGATAACGCTAAGCGAGGCCGCGTTAAATTATCTATTACTATATAATTTATATCGAACCCTGTCGATTATTTCAACATTTTCGAGATCAATAATCCGAGATCCGCCGGACTTTTTCAACTTGATTGATTGATCAATCAATCTTAATCTCGAGACAGGTAGAACTTTCTGTTAATACTGTCGATGGGGTCCGAAAAGAATTAATATGAGTATGCGCGGTGCCGTATTTTTGATAGAAATTCGGCATACGGTTTGAAAAACGGGAGGAAAATCGCGAATGCACGGTACACTCCTTTTCCAATATGTATCGGTAATATAAATACCACCAGTCGTTATGTTATATCGACGCTATCCGACGTGATATTGAATTTGTGGTATGGCTATGCCACATGTTTCCGGTGAGTTAAATAACAGAGAACTGTCGTTTATGTGTTTTGAGTATTTTTATTAGTTGTACGGCATTTTTTGTGGCTTTATAAAGTGTTACATCATTTATCAAACACGATCAATTAGAGCTATAACATAATGTTAAAATGTCGATGAAAACATACGTAATCAGGTTACGTAAATCGGTTTAAGCTCCAAGATAATGACATGATAAGTAAATCGCACACCATATATAACCATTTATATAACTCGTATCGTGTCAGAATGTCGAAGACACGAGTCGCGGTACTCTAAATACAGGTACAATATCGATTGCTGAAGATGCGATCACTTTAATATGATTGCATCTCGTTATGTGTCGAATCGTGCGCTTTGAATAAATTTATCAGTCTTGTTAACAGTTGACTCTGTGATGGAGAATTATTACTCCATTGATTGTGTAGCGCGCAGTTCGAAAACAATATTACGAAACCTAATTCCATCTATTGTTTCCGCGACACTTGTACCACTACTCCCTTAATACTATTAAACTAATTGACAGTGTGCGTCAGTACTTTATAAGAAAAGTCGTTTTAAAAATAACATCGCATACATTTTTTTTTAAATATTTTCGAGATTAAACTCGATAAATAAGATATAAACGTGAAGATATTCAAATAAATATGCCGAAGTTATCTCGCGCAACCAAGGAATTCATCTCGAGTTTCACGCTGACATATTTTTGAAAGCTTCAAAAACGCAAGAGATTCATATTGCAAAAAAAAAAGACTGTCCTTATCTAAAAAAAATAAATGAGATACGTGTCTGATAACGAAACGCTTTACTTTTTATCATCTTTTTTCCGTCTCTAATAGGTTTTTTTACATCATCCGTGCGACCCCGTGAAGCTTGAAATGAAACGTATTTATGGGTAGAAAGGGGAATTATTAAGAAATATATGCATGCATATTTCGTAATAATTCCAAGTTTCTTTACATGGATGAGTACGAGGCACGCGCCCGAGCTCTTTGCGAGTCGGACATTATTCCAGTTTTCGTCGAGCAATGTCGCTTTGTGTACACGGACAAAGCGACATATATTTTTGTTGGTAACGTGGCAATTGAATCACCCCGGTGACAAAAGCCACCGGGTATGCTGGACCGCGTAATTTCGTCCCTCGGGCGTGAAAATGAGGGGTTTTTAACCCATTTTACACAGACCGCGGCTCTAACGAGATCGTCGTGTCGCCGTTATTTCGTGGACCATCAAGGCCGGGACGACGCGCTGCATGCGAAAAGAAAATGTGCAGTGGACTCGCTCCACGAGTCCGCCTTTATCCCCCTTCCTCCGGTGAAACTACATCGTCATTCCTGGAGACGTATAGCCCCGTATATTTCCTGCCGATAAATCACTTTGTTGAAATTGAAGTTACTATAGATGTGACGATGTTCCTTTATTTAGGAAAATTTTATTGTCGCAAAATATCTTCTTCCTCAACTCTCAAACATATTTAGAATTTTAACATTTCGCTGTACGAAAAAGAGACTTTAGACATTTACAATATCGATAAGCACGATACGAAACATATGATTTATTCCGATTCGGTATAATCTCTGTTATACCGATTATAAATTCCAGTAGCAATCATAGATTTTATGGATCGATGCTGTTCTAACAGTTGATACGTTTCAAATTGCCGCAAATTAATTTCTCAGGCAACCCCATTCGACGTTAAAGCTCGACGTGATCGCAACGTCAGCAGACAACTTGAGCGCAGTCGGATTCGTTTCGCGTTTAAATATTTACCGTCCGATCGGGAATCTCTATCAGAGAGAAATCTCCGTAGTGTTGTGCTCCGCGCAACAACAACAAGAGCAGGGACAACAAGAAAATAACTCAGGCGAAAGCAGAGTATAGTCGAGTAGTTTTACTCGCACTTGTGTGGTACCGCACGCGACTAAATGACGTCGAGTGTGTTTTATTTAACATTGAGCGCGAAATGGAAGTAATTACGGCTAGTCGAAGCGTAAAGTAAGAGAAACGTAGGTCGTGAGATCGAGGATTTGCAAAGCTCCGGCGACTAATTAAACGAGTGTGCCACGTGACTTCGAACATTTCGATAATTGTAGATTAATTAAAATTGCGAGGAGTATCACACGAGAATAAGAAGGCTAGTCGGTAAATGTGTCTCGACTCTATCGTGAAAATCTCGACACTGCGACAAGAGTCAAAATCAAGTTTGCGGGACCAATGAAACGAAAAACGCGGGAAACCTTAATAGCGTCTTTCGCGATTTCGCGAATGAACGAGCAATTGTTGATTATTGGCTTTCGAAGCTTATTTCATCTTGCTGCTTTCGTTATCCGATATGAGAGATAGTATTTGCAACGTAAGAATCTTTTGGTGCGTGATGGAAAACACGTTCTTCGATGCATTTTTGTAAATATTTGAAATTAAATATCGAAATTAGACACATATAAATTTATAATTGTAATCATATTCAATGGAGTATTAAAATTAGAAAATTTTAATCTCCCTTCTTTTTTTCTATCGATTTTTAATTCCGATTTGCATAAGGGAGCAAAAAGAGGATCGCATGCCTACTATCACGTTATAGCTCTGATGCTCGTCGCGACTAAAATGATTTATTCATACGTTCCTAAAACTGCAGAAAGTCTTTTCGCATTTCATCAAAGTTTCTTCTTCTGACACGCACACGTATTACTTCATGTTTGCAACCTTCCAATTCGCAAATTACTTGAATGTCGAATACGTCGGCAGCAAAGCGGCATTGTTTCTAATGGTATAATCGTTTAATTATAGAATAAAAGGGGCGATACGCGTTTAAAGAGAAGCTACTGTTTAAAAAGAACATTTCGTTGTTGATATTTTGTCGCGAATGTTTCGAAAATAAAACTACGTGATACTGATCTAAACATTTTAGAATTAATACTTTGACACTTATGCGGTATATCGTGTCTCTGCAAGTTATATTTATAATTTTGCGCTATACATTTATATATATATATTCTTTTTTTTAGATATTATATTTTAAATTTACATACATTTTTAAACTTTCAGATTAATCAATTATATTTCAAGAATTATTCTATATCTATATATAATTTTAATAATTCTCAGGAATTTTAATATTTTCTCATCAAACTTTATAAGATTAAAATACAAAAACGTCAATTTTTTTTGTTACAATATTAATTTATTGCATAAAAATTTTCATAGAAGTAGATATCTCATACGTCCAAGCTCTTAAATTATTCAGAGAGAGATTTACATGTGTCATTAAATCATAAAGTTTAATATACTTATTATTATATTTTAAATCCTAATACTTTCACATGGCTCACAACAGAAAAAAAGTAATTCTAAAAGAGACTGGCATTTATCTGTAATCTCGATAAAATCAATGTTATTTGCCAATCTGATTTTTTTATCACGAAGCACAGCTACACTCTTGCAGCCTGAGGATTGAATTTGTCGACATTCAGTGCTTGTACAGTTTTTCCGCATTTTTCTCGTGAAACGCGCGTCAAGATACATTAGACGTCGCTACGTCGGATTCTTCGGCAAAGTTTTCGAGCGAGGCGTTTCCGTGGGGAATGCGACGACACCGTCAACCAAATGAGATACGTCGTTCCCGCGTTTCTCTTTTTAAATTGAGGTAGCCGAGTTAATTTGTATACCGGCGTCACTTTTAATACATATTTCATGAACCGGAAGGGCAGCCCGCGATAGTATGAGCGGATTATTTCGGATAGAATATTTAAGAGCAAAAAGCTCTTTCGATAGCAGATCCAATAAATGAAAAATGGAACGTAGAGGAACTCCAAGATTTTTAGGAATACAAAGCGCTGATGTATATTAATTTAAAAAATTTTAAAAAATTTTTCGAAATTTTTATCAAACTTCGTAGTGAACGAACGTTTTCGAACATTCAGAATCTCAAATTTGCAATGCTACAAATACTCTGATCCAAAAACTTAGATTTTGTAAAAATAGTTATAAGTGATAAAAATAGCGCAAGCGAAAAAAAATTTGGATATATTTATAAAATTTTATTTTTTTAGAATCCACATAAAATAAACTTTATAAAACTTCAAAATTCTTTTTTTTTTTAATTTGCAATGAAATGCATTCAAAGATATGAATAACGAAATTCGAAATAATGTA